ACACTATTCCTCCATTGTTAAAACTATTATTTCTTTAAAATTTTATATTTTATTTTGAGAATTTTTGTAATTGGAAGTATATATCTAAAATCAATAGTTAAGTGAGAAAAGAAAGTCGATAGTCACTTTTAACAAACACCTTGGGTAAAGTGACTTAGAAAAACCTTAACCACGCCTTTTTAAGTTCCTTGTACGAAGTAAAGGAAGTATCGTCATCGCAAAAAATTTCGTTCATCCTATTTCATTGGAAATATAATAATCTAATCAAATAACTACATAATAAGATAACAGTTTATATATACAGTTAAACAATAAATATCTAAAAATATTTAATGGAGCTTGTTTCTGCAGCAAAAAGTATCTGTAATTTAATATGCCGTAGAAGACAATCATGTGGCGTCCACATCAAATTTTTTAAAAAATGAATTTAGAATAGAAAATAGTCTTTTAATTCTGCTAAAAACTCATTTATATGTAAAATGGCACATAACTTATCATGGAATTCACGCTTGCATGCTATTTCTTTCTCTAAAAGTGTAAATAACCCTTAAATAGGCTAAGATATAAATTCCGAACTATGTATTTAATACAGTGCGTAACATGACTGTATTATGCATATTCGTAAGATGTTTCAAAAACATCAGATTGATCATTTATACATGAATGTATATCACATTTTGCTAAAAGACGGTCGTGATTATTATAAGTGTCACCAACACAAACTCCATTGGTTGTTTTGTAGAGACATAATGTTATTTCGAAGCAGGAGAGATACAAAATGAGCAATGCCTTCGCCGGGACTCGAACCTAAAACCTCTCGAATATGCGCCGAGGGTGCTGACCACTACACCAGGAAAGCATGCTAAAAAGGCGGGAGAAATACCTTATAGTTTTAGCAGCGATTTATTAGGCATTTATATATGTTCTTATCTTTGTCTAATCAGTTAAAATCGCACAATGTTATTATGAAACGTAAAATTGTTTTATAGAAACATCAATGGAAAATATGGGTTTGGCATTTTGTATTGAATATAAAATGATAGCACGCAATATGTTAAAAATGTAACGTGCTGTGAATCACAAGATTTGTTTGACAGCTCATAATCAGCCCATTTTGATGGAATATGCGATTTTTTTCAGCATTTCTGTGTCAATATTAAGATTACCTCCAATTTCTGTTAAAAGCTATAAATAAAGGCTAAAGCACAAAATATATTGATTTTTAGGAAGTTCATGAAACAGTCAACGTCAGAAATAACACAATTTACAAAGCATTTCTTTCATTAAAATGATTTGAGATGCTAACGCCATTCTTCAGCAAGAAGGTAGTAAATATCTCAACATAAAATTTGAAAATATAGCTTTCAGATTAGAAACTATAAAATAAAAGAAGTTGACTAAAATTTCACGAGCCTTTAAGTCGACACAAATACTTACCATAATTATTAGCTTCAGTGTTTCAAGAAGGTTCTTAATATCTAAAATTACATTAAACGCTATATTGTCACTACTATCCTCCAAAAAAGAAACACGTTCTTTTATCGTCGCTATTAAATAAGAGGTATGAAAAAAGCGAATAATTCATTTTGACACATGATTTCCTATCGATAACCTTTAATTATTGCCTGTCGATTAATCGTAATTATAGATGTAAGCTCCTCTGCACTTTTTCCTAGAGATCTCTTAGGCAGCTGCGAAGGATTAAGTCGCGTCCAATTAGCGACCGAGAAGCGAGTAACTTACTTTTCATTCTGCTCCATTTTGTGTAAGCAATAAAAACTGTTTTGTTAATTTTTTTTTTCTTTTAGTTTTGAAGGATGGAGAGGACGTAATTTGTTAAAAGATAAGTTGATATTATCTTTATACATGGAAATACATGTAAGAAATGGAATTACATATAAGTGATACTAAAAATTTACGTTTATATAAATGGTTAGGCCATTTTTCATTGTTTACTGTTTTTGATTTTGAAATGTGTAAAAATGCACATTAAGCGAAAGATTTAAATGAAAAATTAATTTCAGGTTTTGTATGGTTTTCTTTTATTGATCATGACAAAGCATACTAGAGGGCTATCTGCCTAAGGGAAAGGAAGCCTTCGTAGAGGGCTTTCTAAGGGAAACTGGCTCGTGTACACGTTACACATGGGGAAGACAACGGAAACGCCCATGGAGCCAGCTCGTTCGCCTGGAATTGAACCCAGGTCAGAATTACCAGTGCTCAGCGATTTTAACGCTCGGCCGTTAGTGGGCTGAATTTTGTGTGTAAAATTGCTAGGAAACTGAAGAAATCAGCAATTAATTTCGCCGGTATTCGAACTCGAGATCTCCCGAATACGCGTCTAGTGTTCATCCAGTTACACCACGAAAGCATGCATAAAGGAGGGAGACAATACCTTCTAAAAAATATAATGCCATTTGAGAATATTTGTAAAATTTTGCTTAAAATGTCAGTATTTAATTTTTAATTCATGGGTTTTTATCAAACATTACTAAAATAGGAATATTATACTTGCATTCTTGTAATGTTCTTATCACATATATGTATCCCCAATTTTTTATAATTCTGCAATATTGCAGAGCAGTTATTGTTGCATCCTCAAAATAAAATCGAATGGTAATAAAACTGGCATGTGATGTAATTATGTCTACATGTTAAATGATTAAATTTACATATGATGATTATTAGAGCAGAGCACTGATATAAATAAAACATAAAATTCAATGCTCAAGTTTGGATTTCAATTGTTCTAAGTTAAAATATTCCATTTCAGTCATCGCTTTTGAGCATAGAAAGATTTGACTATGTTTGAGAGACCCAAAGTTGTGAAGTTTATTGCTCCATTAATCGTGTCGCAACATTTATGACCATCATGTATTTGACAATATTCTGTACACGGGAACAGCGGAATTTTTATTGTAAAGACTGCGATGAATCTGCCTTTACTAAACGTAGCTTGTGGCAGTTCCTCAACAAGACTATCAGCGACTTATGGCTGTGTCTAAGATGAAACACAGAAAAGTAAAAAGTATGTAAAAGACCCTTATGTTTAAGACTAAGTAAGTTGAACAGGAGGCACACCTGGTGTTTGCAAATTAGCCAGCAATTCTGGTGAGAATTCAAAGCAGAATTTTAAATTTAAAATATAAATATCAATTAACCAAAAGCTACGCGGAATAATTTAAACGCGAAAGTTGGCTCTTAAGCTTACACCGGCGTGAAAGCATTATGTGTCAGAATAAGGGAAACGCCGAAGACAGAACTCTTATATGAGAATAGCAAACTACTGTCTGTCTACGAGAAGAATAGCTCCCGCCACAGTATCTGGTTATAGCGATGACGGTCGCTATAGCATCAGGGCTAGCATATTTTAAATAGCGGCGAATCAAGGCTCTCTTTATTGTTATTTGTTTTTGGCGACTCTTTGTTGAAGGGAAAAGTGTTTGTAATTCGTCTTTAAGACACACCTACCGAAAATGGGTCAAGACACGTTTCTATGGCAACAGACAGTTGCAGACTGACTGGCGAGAGCTTTTAGATAATATGATAGACAGACTGTAATAACGTGGTTTTCAACACGCATAATATGTTCTGTCTAAACAATCTCAGACTCTCAGTTAAATACGCCCGAGCTAATTTGCAATCTGGCCGGAAAACGGAAGGAAGGAAGTGACAGTACGTGTTCAGAACATAAAATAACTGATTAATTAACATCAATAAACCCTACAAGATTCTGAAAAGTCACAAAATACAGAGAAAAAAATGAAGATTTTAGAGTTAACTGAGAGATAACTGTAAAAACTTCATTATCAACGCTATCAGAAGCGGAATAATTTTCTTGAATTGCTATAAAATGTGTGAAATCATTATGGAAGACTATCTAAGAAAATTCAGAAATCCATCTTCAGCGAAAATCCTCATTTATTTATTTATTTTTTAATCTAATGGCCGGAGCTTGCCTATTCGACAACGGCCACTCTTAAGGCCAGAAGTGGTAGCCATTTTATTGTAGAGTCACCTAACAGGCGGCCATCGTTGGCTCTGTTGATGGGGATGGCCTGCTGCAACCATGCCTTCTCCGAGATTCTAACTCGGGCCCTTTGGTATCACAGTCGTCTCCTCTAACCACAATACCGTCTGGGCAATTAAATCTACTACTACTAATTACTATTGACCAACTAAGTCGTATTAGCTAACTAATCAGCTAGATCATCCATGCCTACAAAACGTTTCCTGGAAGAATATCTGTAAGGAATTAATATGACGCTAGTACGTCCAGCTGGCACTTGACAGTTGACGGAAGGCGGAAACATCTTCATTCTACACATCAAGATATACATCAGATAACATTGTAAAGCATTGTTGCCGTTGTGGCTCAGGTCATAATTACATAATTTGCAAAATTATTACATATTTTTTATGTTAAAAATACTTTACAGCAGAACATACAATCACAACAGCACACGTTACAAATTCACTTTGTAAAGACAGCACTTTACAGAATTTCACAAATGAACATTGTGTACGTTATATTTATGTCATATATATATGGACCCTCGATCTTTAAAATTACTGCATTTTATGTTTTAACTACAGTGTTATAAAATCTTTTTCTTAGCTGTAAGTCCTGGGGAAATATTTAATTCAAATAGGTTACTGACTTTTTTTTAATTAAAATCAGTTTACTTTCTGAATCATCATTGTAAAATATTTTTTTTTTCTTTTCTATGAATGATAAAATAATATAACTTTTGTGGGTTAACAGACAGAAAAGTAACTTTAATAATTCTCTTGGAGTTAGTTTTGTACGGTTTCTTATAGAGTTGTAGTTGCTACATGAGGCTTGTAAACTTGATTCTTCTAAATAGAAATTTCTAAATGAAAATTTATATTAGTAAGGCTGTTTTAGAAATATTTAGCTTTGAATTTCATTTTATATATTGCACTATTTTAACTTACATAGGCATTTTATTTATTATAGGAAGTCGAACCGCATGTGAAATAGTGGTGACGGTATCTTCGCCTGGATTAATGCCTGCTATCAAAACTTCCCGTGTTGAATGGCAACAGTTTTCTAAGATTTCTCCGAATTACAAATCACATGTAAGTGTCCATTTTATATTGTTTCACAATATATATCATTTGAATAACTTGTGATAATCGCGATTGAAAAAGAAGCGAACTGTTTCATTATTGCATAAGCATCTGTTTAATTAGTGTTATAATCAGATTACGTTTAGATAAAAGTGCAAGCAAAAATAGCTTAAACTGAATAAAACAGGAATTTACATATATTATTTCATATAATAATTAAAGTTGGGCGCATTACTTGCAAATCATAAAGTCTTCGTAAAATCATAAGTGCCGGATGCATAATTCTTAAGTGCAACCGAGGGAAGGGTTTCGGGTGCGAACCAATGTGCCAGTACTGCTCTTGTAATGCTAATTTTTTTAAAAGTTGTTTACATTTCATTTCGCATTTGTTTTTCGCTACCTGTCAGGTATTTGTATTCCTTTCAAATAAGTAGCGAACTAACAGATGCTTATGCTTGATCTAATTTCAGTTTGAAAATTTTCACAAGAAATCCACAAGGTTTTACGCATTTTATAGAGTAAATTAGGCAACAAAAAAGTTTCAACCATTTAGCTTTAAGTCACCTGACACAACAAAAAATATGTTGGAAGTCCATTGGTCCGTTTCCGAAGCTCCGCGTATATTCAAAAGTGGTGTATGTGATTATAACAAAGCCTAAAGTGCCTAAGGGAAGGGGTGCCTTCGTGGAGGACTTTCTGAGGGAAACTGGCTCATATACACGTTGCACATAGAGACAAACACGAAAAGCGCCCATGCAAGCAAGCCTGTTCGCGGAGTTCGAGCCTCGAGCCGAACTACCAGTGTTCAGCGACTTTACTTCCCGGCCGCTGGTGGACCCGCATATTTAAGAGAATTATATTGAACGTAAAGTGTACGCGAATAACAGTGTTACTATCTTTCTTTGTAACATTATATATTTTTTAAAAGCAAATACTTATTACATTCATCTCTGTCTCTTTTATTTTAATGGATAGCATTCCTTCCTTGGATAAGCCTGTGACCATTAGATATTTTCTTTCGCCCCACCAATGGTCAGGTGGTTAAAGACTGTTGAATACTGGTAGCTTGTCTTGTGTTCAATCTCAAATGAAAAGGTTCGATGCTGGTTGGTTTTTCGTAGTTTTTAACACGTGTAACGTGAATACGAGCCAGTTTTGCTTAGAGAATCATCCACGATGGCATCTTTTGCCTGAGGGAGATAGCCCACATATGCCTTATCATATTCTAATAACCTAACTTAAATAGTCGTAAAAGTGGTCTATAAAATTTTGCAATATACTATACTAAGCGAACTGCGAATGAAATAGTTATGAGGCATGAATTGCAGAAGTTAATGAAATAAGAAGTCGTAAAATAGTAATTAATGTCATAAACATAATCAAAGATGACATTCATTAAATAAATTCGTAATCACCTAAATAATTATTGCATCTTATTATGTTTATATTTTACTATTAAGAGTCATGGTAGTATAAATTAATAATAATTATCATCTCCTGAAATTATTCCAAATGATTCTCATAAAATTAAGATACAAAATTTGTTTGATTTCTCAAAGAGATTCCCAGAGCTCTTCTACTTTTGTTATTTTAATGATGTATTTTAAAAGATGTTACTTTAAAGATATGATTTAAAATATATTATTTTACAGGTGGTTTTAAATGAAGTGAAATTTCTGCAAAATTAATTTGAAAGATAGTCATAATAAAACTGGCATTTCTCGTTGCTCTGATTATTTGCGAATTTATATTTTCGAAATGATAGCGTAAACGAATTTGCTAGTATTAATACAGTGTAATCGTTATTGTTTTAGTTTAAATTATGGCTGTTGAAATGTCGGAAATATATTTTTGGAAAAAAAATAAAGGAAAGAGGTAAGCTAAGCGACTTTATGTATCGCCACCGGCCCTGTCGAAAATCTCGAAATAGACAAATTAAATACCACGCAATGAGTTGAGTTCTCCTAAGCAATATAATAATTCCTCTTTTCTTTACATTGCCTTACGCATTTTTCCACCTTTGTTTTTTCTTTTTTATATCCTAGAAAAGAAGATATATTTTAGTTTGGGAAGAAGGAGGGGAAAAGAACGAAAATGTTAAAAAAAAAAAAAAAAAAAATTCATTGTCATTTCGGTCTCTGGTGAACTCTGGTCTCTGGTGAACACCGAACTTAGATTTTATTCTTTCTTTCGCGCAATACATTTTTTCATCCTACGCTGGTGTCGCCCTCTGGCGACGCTGACAGCATTATTGTGATAAATGTCGGGCTTTATTGTATTGTAAATTGAAGGTTTCTGACGTTTGCTTGGTCTTTCTTGTATTATTCTTTAAATAGTTTGCGCTGGGAGTTGTTTTAAGTTTGGGAACCGATGTGTTATTAGTCGCGACATTTTTATGTTGGATTTCTTAAATGCGCAAAATATACTATGTTCTAGATATAAAGGCTAGCAAATTGTCTTTTTGAATGAGTATATTTTATTGATAATAGATTCAGTTATTGCGGATAGTTTTAGAAATGGCAGCGTTAGAATATGTGCTGTCAATTTGGTTTGAATTGGAGTTGAGAGTTTATGTAGATTGAATGTTACCGAAGGGAGAAAATATTTCTTCTTTCTTCGCCTTGGTGAAATTAAAATTTTTATTTTGCTAACATTTTGCGTATGAAGGTATGTCTTCAAAATATTCAGCATAATATACATTTTATTATTATTCGAAAGCTATAAGGAGTCGATAAATTTTACTTATTCACCTTTTAACTTACAGTATTAAAGTGTGGTAAAATGAATCTGAGTCTAGGTATTGATGTATTTAGTTAAACACGTTTAAGGAATTCTAGTTTAAGAAGTTTTCTAGCTTAATAAGTTTGTTTCACGATGGTCTATATAATTTTCTATTCCGATAACGTAAAAGATTCTCGCATAAAACGTATTAACTTGAAAAATATTTTTCCTTTAGAAATTCTCACTAAGCTCTCAGAAACTTTCTTCATAAGGTATTTTCTCCCTCCTTCCAGCCTGCCTTTGCGGTGTAACGGTAGCACACTCGGCGCGTATTCGAGAGGTCCAGGTTCGAGTCCCGGCGAGGGCATTGCGCATTTTTCACGTCTCCAGCATCAAAATAACCTAATGTCTCTACAGTGGCGCCCGAAATAAAACGTGGTGAATGATGATTCTTCACCATCAGGATTAGGCGATTGGGTCCTTTTTTTAAAAGGGGGATTTTCTCCCTCCTTCCAGCGTACCTTCGTGGTGTAATGGTAGCACACTTGGTGCACATTCGAGAGGTGCAGGTTCGAGTCCCGAAGAGGACATTGCTCACTTATCATGTCTCTTGCTTCAAAATAACCAATTGACTCCACATCTTCCCTTCGGAAAATGTACTTTTCTTTAAGAAATTCTTATTTTATACATTTATTTCCCAATCTTATTTTATACATTTATTTCCCAATCACGAAAGTCATCATTCTTGTTTTTAGAATAGCAATAGCTTTACCCCATTGTTTACAGTGTCCTTCAGCTTATACACCACTTATTATCTTCATTACGGTTAGCAAGAACTGTAGGGCAAATATCTATATAAGATACCAAGAAAAGCCACTGAATTTCGGTCTCTTTTCTTTCATCTTTTTTTTTTACAGAATGTAACATTGAAAAAAGGATTTCTTAGGTTAGAAAAAAAGATCACTAGTCCACCTTTCCTTTCCCTTTTAAAATGATACTGTCTATTTCTGAACATTAATTTTTACAAAATGCATTAGAGAGTTGTTTTTTTAATTAATGAATAAAAGTTTTAATTAGTATAATATTAAAAAAAACATTCTAGAATGTATAAAAATACAGGTAATTTTGTTCTATTTTACATATTAAATCAAATTAAATAAACCAGGTTCTAAAATAACAGAAATAATAGAACTCACTGGGAGTAATACGCGAGACAGATTTCCTCATATCTTTGCCTATTAACATTTTATAATTATATGATTAATGATGAAAAGGTAAGCAAGGACGTCTTAACGGAACCTAAGCACAAACAGGAATGTCTGACTCATTCAAATAAGAAAAATTGTTTTCCAGTGTTAGTTTTGATTTTAAATCATCATAACTGGCTAAAGTTTTTATGCAAGTATCTACATAATTTAGTTTGTAAATGACGCAGTTTAGAGAGCTTTGTATAGGCAGTTAACTCTTTTTAGGACAGAAAGGGGAAATATCCAAATTAAAATGGAGAATTAAGGCATTATTGAAAATTAAAATTATAATTTTGCTTTACATATTGCTACGAGGTATTGTGTGCTTCATGTTTCTTTGAATAATAAGTCCAGATAAGCAGGAAGAAACGAATAATTTACTAGGAAAATAGGCACAATAAGTAGCACACATAGATAAATAATGGCTGGGAATAACTCAAGGAAAATGGGGGTATTCAGCAATTCCTCCTCAGGCACGAAATCAATTGTAAAGTTTCTCAAATCACTCTTAGGTAAAACCCTAACAGTTAAGTCTCTCAGTTATTTTGCAACTGTTTCACCACTGATTCGCAACGATTTCAAAACCGATTCCCCAGGTCTCCGATCCCTATTTATAGTTCGCAGCATAGTCTCCAAAAACTTCTAGAAGAATCAGTTGCAGGCTTCGAAAATGTGCTTTCACGAATCTTCCAGAAGGTCGCCAAGTTGGCGAGAAATCCCTAAATGTCGCCAATGCCCTCAGAAACGAAATTGCCTATATCTAGAGTTCTAATTGATCTATTTTTGCAATTTCAATACTGTAGCATTCAGAATTAAAAGATCTGCAATTCTGTGCAACAGATAGTCACTTATATATAATACATGTGGCCAAAGATTGCATTTAAAACAAATAAGCCGTAAAATTACGATTAGAAGAGCAATAAATAAATACAGCAATACCAAATGTGACAACAATACAGGAAATCATAAGTACAATAAAAAGGATTAAAATATTTACAAAAATTTATTATAATATTATTTATCTTATATATCTCCCCTTCA